CCTTCTAACTCAGGCTCTCAGCTTTTGGATTACCTTCAAACCTAGGACTCCTGGCCCATGATGTCCTTACAGGCAAAGGAAGTGCATTTATAACATGATTCTTGGGAATGGGGGACAATGTAGCTTATTTTCAGCCTAGGTACAGCTTGGTAAAACTGATGTGAAATGAAGTCTTTTGAGCCTTCACAATTAAGTGAAGCTCACTGATGTGCATTGACTTTGCCAGCAGGATGTATGGGGCTAGAATCAGGTCTCCAGGCCACGGTGCCATCGTTTCCGTGGATCCTACATTTCCACAAGCCAGAAAGTACTAGACTTGCGTGCCATGCTGCTCTCAACTGAACAGAATCTCCTCACTGCTCTCTGCAGAGGAAAGGGAATTAGCGGTGATACCGTGAGATTTAAGTCTGAACCAGGAAATGGAGTCTTATGTGAAATTTGATTTAAAATTTCTTTCAGTAATAGAGAATGGGCAAAAAAAAAAAAAAAAAAATCTAATCCAATTTCAAGTTAGGACCAACAAGAGTCTTAACCTTGTAGTGTTTTTTGTGTACTCCATGAGATCTTGTATTGTATCTGTAGAGAGACTGAGTTGCATGACTCTGATAATAATGAGACAGCAGAAGCAAAATTCAGGGTAATAACATGACCTGTTCTGAAAGGATAATGGATGTCTGCCTGCCTGCTTCTGTTTCCTTCCTCCTCCTTCTTCCTTTTTTTTTTTTTTTTTTTTTTTTTTTTTTTTTTTTTGAGTCAGTCCTGGGATTTGATCTGTAGACCAGGCTAGTCTTGAACTCACAGAGATCTGCCTGCCTCTGCCTCCTGAGTGCTTGAATTAAAAGTTTTCGCTGGTTTTTCTATTTGAAAGCTACTGATAACAATTTCTAAAACTCCGAGATGTCAACAGAAGTATCTTGAATTCAAGGTCATCATAGGCTACAAGACCTTGCCAAGAAAGAGTGACAAGGTGGAGAGGGAGAGGAAGAGAGAAGCCAGATTGTCCTATCCCTCCAAGACTGGAGACAATTTTAGCCAAAATATTTTTTCCACAGGAATAACATTGAATGTATCATGTCCTTGAGTAGATGTGACTGAAAAGGCACACCATAAGTAGAAGTCCACCATATGCTTAAATGTGGGGGAATTTAAACTATTTCATTTCAAAGTCTTGAATGCTCAAAGGACTCTTAATTACTCCAGACTGTGTAGTGTCTGTAGAAGCTGGGGTTTGATAACAATTGCACATGCCTTTCTGTTTTTTCCTTCTTCGTTTTGAGACAGGATCTCACTATATAGCCCTGGCTGAGCTGTTTTTGTCTGTGTTACATGCTTTTTTTCTGTGGTCATTACCACTTGGTTTTGTGAGATTTTGAATTTGTAATAAATTATGAACTAATTTGGACCACACATTTCAGATGAATCCCTTCAGTCGGGTGTGGGAAGCAATCTGTTGAAATCCAAGCACTGAGAAACAGGCAGGAAGGTGGTGTAAAGTGTGTGTATGTGTGTGTGTGCACATATGTGTTAGTGATATCAGGTAATTATTTTTGATAATGTAATAATTTAGGTTTAATTAATTAATAATTTAGATTCATTACATTTCTTTCCTAATTCTGTGTAGAAAAAAAAAATAATGTTCCAGATTGTATTGTTGTAATTGGCACTGAATAATGACATTTTATTTTTTAATTCCTTTTGGGGTGGTGTCGGAAACAGGACCGCAGGTATCCCAGGCTTACATTAAACCATCTCCAAAGCTGTTGGTTATTGTAGACTCCTGATCCTCCAGTGTGGGCCACCACTCCCAGCTTAAATGTCCTTTTCTGAGCATCCCTTGTTTATGCTGTGTAAATTCCTAGGGACAGACCAAAGGCCATTAAAGGTTTTATGGGGCATAATGTTCCTGACTTTCTAAGAGTTTTGCATGGATTTGTACTATCACGAGGATGTGTACTGTTTTCTGTAAACTCTCTCAAACAATAGGGTGGTTTAAGTATTTACTTGGAAGGGAAGGAAGGATGCTGCTTTAGATAATACTCATGTACTCTTCAGGAGGGTGTTCTGACTTTCGTCTAATGCTTTTTATGTAGTTGGATTTGTACTGCTGACTTGGACGTGGGTTTCTTTTCTCTTTTTGGTTTTGCTTTATTCTTTGAGGCAGGATTCACATAACCTAGGCTGATCTTGACCTTTAATGTGACTGAGAATGACCTTCAACAGGTCCTCAGGCCGCCTACATGTCCAAAGTGCCAGATCACAGGCTGTACCACGAGTCAGCTTCTTTTATCACTGTCTGGAATTTCTATTGAAGAATGACTCGGTGTTTCACCTGTGCAGAGGGGAGGAGCCAGTTAATGTTGTGTAACTCTACCCAAAGGATCTGTGCAGTATAATTGGAAAGGTACAGAAAGCTGTTTTCTAGCATTGTTATTAAAGCTGCCAGGCCGTAGCCCACTCCTGTAATGGCAGCACTCAGGAGGCCAAGAAGTTCTGCTATGAGTTCAAAACCAGTCCTGGTTATTCAGTGAAACTCTGGAGGGGAGGAGAGGGGAGAGGGAAGAAATGGGGTGTGTCAGGAGGGAGGGAAAGAAAAAGAAATATTACAGCATATTCCTTAAAAAGTAAAACCCTGCCGAGTGGTAGTGACCCACACCTTTAATCCCAGCACTTGAGAGGCAGAGGCAGGCAGGTCTCAATGAGTTTGAGACCAGCCTGGTCTACAGAGTGAGTTCCAGGACAGCCAGGACTGTTAACACAGAGAAACCTGTGTGTGTGTTGGGGGGGGGGGGAGTAAAACTCTGCCTCAAGAAGAAGGAGGATGGAAGGAAGGAAAGTGGAAACTGTTTGTTAAAAAGATAGTACTCAGAAGTACTGTCTGTGCCACTGTGCATGGTGGCACACACTTTTAATCTCAGCATTCAGGAGGCAGAGTCAGGTAGGTCTCTGAATTCAAGGAAGATCATTCTCAGGGCTGGAGAGATGTGCAGCAGTTAAGAGTGCTCGCTACAGTCACAAGGACCAGTTTGCACAGTTTGCATTCCAGCATCCATGTAACAAGGTACCTGCTCTGTGAGGCAGAGACAGGGGATCTCTGGGCTGTGCCAGCTTCCAGCCTAGCTTAGAAAATGCAAGCCTTGGTTTAGGTAGAGAAGCCTGCCTCAAAAAGGACTAGACAGTGATAGAAGAGCACCCTCTTCTGACTTCTGTTTAGGATCACAGGATAAGCACCTGTTCACATGTGCACACATACACTCACATAGACACAAATTTTCTACTGTGTGTGTGTGTGTGTTAGATTTTATAGCAACTTCATTTCACCTTTACCAGGTCCTTGAGTACAAGTTGCTATGTGTTCATTTAGAAATAAAGAGGGCAAACGGTAAATGACAATTATAAGTGGCATATCTGTATTTATGTCCAGGTCTCCATTTGTATTCAGTGTAGCTGTAGAAATCTCCTTAAAACGGACAGGTACCTTCTAGAGGATTCTGTCTTGAAGCAAATATTCCAAGCACTTCAGTGTCCCGCCTGCCATAATGCTTAGTTGCTTCGCTATGTGTTTTGGGGGGTGGAGGGGATCCTAAGCCTACAAACAACACAGGCTGCTCAAGGGGATGGACACTACCCAGTTTGATGGGGAAACTTGGGGCTGGAGAGATAGATGGCTCTACACTGGCTGTTCTTCCAGAGGACACAGGTTCGAATGCCAGCACCCACCAGGCAGTTCACAACCATCTGTACCTCGGGTAAAGAGCGGCAGATCGGCATGTAAGCCTCAATCCATACTGTGTGTGTTCTTCATCTGTCTGTTTTTGTGGCCAGAAGTGTATGTGGACGTGACACGCTGTCCCCACCCAGGCCCCGACTACTTATCCTGAAGGCGGCTCTAGATTGAACAGTAAAATAGTTATTTGTGTTTGGGCTTCTCTTGGAGCATCTTTCTGATGAATAGGTATTGAAACAGAAACTGGACCATTGTCTCAAGAAACTGAAGGGTGACCTGGCTTATTTCCAGCGGCTTCAGCCTCCCTGCTCAGGCCACACTGCTTTTGCCTTAAGGAATGACTGGCATTGGGACACTTGGCTGCCCCACTATTTCAGGGAAAATGGCCTGCGTTTTTGTTGCTGGTGGTACAAAGCTGGGACTTCTAGCTGAGTGTAGAATATAGGGAAACCCACATCTGCCTGCCACTGGGAGTGCGCAGCCTCCCACAGACTTGTGGTAAGATTGATATTAATTGTTGGTATATGGTTTTAAATGCTGTAGAGTAAAACATGACAGTGTTAGAAAGCTTTGCGAAACTTAGTGATCTGCTGTGTTCCAATTGTCCAGTGTCAGGTGCTACTTAACCTGTGGCCAGGAGAAGACCCATTCAGAGTGCAGGACAGACAGGGCCTTCAGTGTGGCAGAACCTGAGAAGTTCTTTGCTAAGGTTTCTAGGCCCACAGGGACCCAGCCTTCAGGAAACCAGGCCTACCAAATGGGGGTGTCATAACAAAAATCTCTACGGTGACCTGAAAACTTTTGCAATGACAATTTTTGTAGTGCTGGGCATAGTTTTCCTTTCTTTCAGTCAGGCTTACCTGTTGTCACAAGTCAAGCAGAGGGACAGATATCCTGCTGTCATCCATACCAAATGTGGTAGCCTCCTGTGGCTGTTTGTGTGTTTGTTTGTTGTAGTGCTGAGGACTGACCCAGGGCCTTGTGTATGCCAGACAAGCACTACTCAGCTATACCTTCTGCCATTAGAAGTACTTTAAAGTTAGTATTTGTCAAAGTTTAAAGTCTCTTTTGTGTTTACTTGCTTGCTTTTTTTTCTTTTCTGTTCTTGGTAGAGACAAGAGTCTCCCTTGTGTATCTTTACACTTGGTAACCCTCCTGCTTCACCTTCTCTGAGTGTGACTAAGGAGAGTGTGTTTGGACCAAGTATACAGCACCACAGTACAGCATAAACTGTAGCATCTAAGCTCTTGTAACTTTGTTTTCTTCTTGTTTTCAGGGTGAGTCTGTGAAGTATTTCCTGGATAACTTGGATAAACTTGGAGTACCAGTAAGTTTCCAAACAATGGTCATTGAGAGTTGGAAGAGAAATTGGGATAGCATTGTTTTATTTGGGGGCCGCTTGTTAGGAGAGTTAGTGAAAATGCTGAGCAGCCTGCCTTCTCCTTCTCTTCTAGTGGCAGTGGCCTGATTCATCCTCTTTAAAGAGGGTTAATAACTACAAATATTCACGATTTCTTGATTTTCTTTTTCAGCATGAAAGAGATTTGTGTTAGAAAAGGAGATCACCCATTATCTAGTATTTTTCACTGCTATTGGGGTTTCTGTAAGAGAAATAGAGCAGGACTCCTTTGTATTGGAGTCAGGGAAATGGGGCTCTATCCTCCGGGCCTGCTGAAAAGACTGAGGTAAGGGAGTCACCCTTGGAAGGGGACTCTGTTACCTTCCCAGAGTTTACCAGAGCCTTTGACTCAGCCATGGCTCCCTGTACCCATGGCAGGCAGAGAGCGCTACTGTCTGCTGTCTATTGGCAAACACCCAAGAGTCGTTGGAATTAAGGTTTTCACTGCTTAGAGCTATTGCCCTAGAGGTAATTTGTTAGTCATGGAATCCAGTGCAGCTGCCTTTGCTGCCTCTTAGATCTCTGCAGGGTTAAATGCGCTTTGGGCTCTGAGGCTTCAGTGTTAGCATGCTGATGGAAAACCCAGAACAGACCTGCTGTCAGGAGGGCAGTAACATACTGTGCACTTGGGGCACCAGGACTGAGTTTTTTTTTCCTTTCACGTTTTCCTTATATTTCTCTAATGGAATTTGCCTGCTGGGTGTGATGGCACACATCTATAATTCTAGCACTCAGAAAGCTGAGGCAGGTGGATCCTAAGTTTAAGCCCAGCCTGTTTTAGAAAACAAAACTAAGTTTGTAATTGCATTTGTTTGCCTTTAAAGGAGTATTTTAATTTTTTTTTAACCAGCTTTCCCCCATAGATACATCTCCCAGAACTTGAGTTCTTTATAACTTACTTTGTACATGTAATACATAAACTGGAGGAAAGCATTAGTGAAAAGGGGGGGGTGTGTGGTTAAATATGTACTTATGCACACGCTACCGGAGGTGCCTGGGGTTAGTGTTGTGTGTCTTCCTCGGTTGCTTACCTTGCTTGAGACAGGGTCTCTCTCCCTGAGCTTGGAGCTCACGGTTTGTCTAAACTGGCTGATGACAGCCCATTGAACACCACCCCACCACCACCACCACGACCGCCACCCCCACCCCCACTCCCCGACACACCTCTCCAGCTCTGGGATGGAAATGATGCGCTGCTAGCACCCACCTTTTGATGTGGGTACTAGGGATCAAAACTCAGGCCCTCAGGCATCTAGTGCATGCATACATTTTACTGACTGAGCTCACCTCTGCAGCCCTAAACATGTTTCTTAAGTTATTTATTTTTATTTTGTGTATATGAGCTCTTGTCAGTGCAAGTGCTTACCTGGTGCCCCAGGAGCCCAGAGAAGGATGTTGGTTCCCCTGGAACTGGAGTTACATCTGCCATGTGGATGCTGAGAACTAACCCATGTCCTCTTCAAGAGCAGCCAGACCCTAGACCAGCTCTGATTTGTTGTTGTCTGATTTCTTGAGACCAGGTCTTGGAACCTGCTTTGCAGACTAGTCAGGCTTCAAACTCACTGAGATCTGCCTGTGCCTGCCTCCCGCTAGAATTACAGGCATGTACTATCATGCTTGGCTAATAATTTTTTTTTTTTTAAAGAGCGCTTCTTTCCGTCTAAACAGCTAATTTGATTTGCTTTTCTGTTTTCCAGTTAGGTTTTTCTCTAAACACATCATTCATATACACCCTCTTTTCATTGTTGCTGGGGATTTGTTGTTTGTTTGAGTAGTATTTTGAAGCTAGGTCTCTTGTAGGTCAGCCTAGACTTGAACTTACTATGTATTCAGAGATGACCTTGAACTCCTCCTGAACTTCAGTCCTGGCCCAGCAGGCTTGGCTCACACAGCTGTCATCCTTTCCCTGCATCAGCCCTTGCTTCTTTGTTGCATGTATCACAGTTGATAGTTACTTTGTCTTCTTCCCATTGTTTCCTGAGGACTAGGATTTGCCAGCTTGATTGTAAGAGTTAAAGTCCCTGGTGCTTAGTGACAGTGCCTGGCACAAAGTATGCATTTAACAAATAGCTTGTAAATAACTAGTCTGGCCAGGCCCAGCTGTTTATGGTAGGTGCTTAAACTGCTGGGCTGCGAAGTTATGAAGCCCATGTAGAGTGCAAAGAGAGCTATGTAGTTAGTGCGTTGTTGTGAAGGAGAGGAGACTAAAAGCTGGCAGGGCTACATTTATCACTCAGTCTGTGAACTTAGGGCAAGTCCAACAATCCCGTTTGCTTCTCTCCTATTAAAGCTACAGAAACCCTACTTTGCGTTGAGCCTTTGGAGAGGCATAAAATGCAGACACAGCTTGTAAGTCAGTTTTCCATCCTGCCATGACTTTTAAAATATTTTGACCATGAAGATAAGTATTAAAACTGCTCCTGTTTCATTATTGCCAAAGAGCCATGTGACTTACGGAAAAGTACTGGCCTGAGAAAGAAGAACCGTCGGGGCATGTAAGGAAATGTGCCACTGGGTGCAGTTGCTCTTTCCTGCAACTAGCAGCTGCCCTTGTTCAAGATCTTGTTGCTGCGCTCTCAAGGTCTGGAGAGCCTGACATGGTGGCAGGATCTGCAATCTTTGCACTGTAAGACTAAGGCAGGAGAGTTGTCAACAAATTCTAGGTCAGCCTGGACAACATATCAAGCCTCTGCCTTAAACATGAGAGCATGCACACATGCTGTGCTCACACACACACACTCACATACTCATGTGCATATAAGTGTATAATCCTAACACTAAGAAGGCCGGGGCTAGAGGATCATCACAGCGCCAGCCTAGTCACTGTAGCAGTGGCCACATGAAGAGTTCAGGAAGAGCTAACAATCTTGGCAGTGATGCTCTTCCAAGACAAGTATGCCAGGTGTGAATGTCTTCTGGGTGTGAATATGCTGTTCCTCAGCAGAAGTACTGGGTCTCAGAGTGCATTCTTCCTCAGTGAGTAAGAGCTTCTTGAACCGTTGCCTGGAAACAGACTAGCATATGGTCTACAATGTGATTGTTAATCACTTATGCTAGGTAAAGTGTTTCCCACATTCATGACAGTGTGGAGCTTATCCAGTGTCCTGAAGGAGGCGTGTATAATGGGGAAGCATTTGTAATGAATTAAGAGAGTGGGTCAGAACCAAGCACGGGAAGTGAGCCTCACAGATTGTTCCAGATCCTCCTGTTTTTAGAGGGGTGAGGAACAGCATGGAGATGCATGGGCAGTGAAATTATTCTGGCTTGACCTAGGACTAGGACTAGTACTAGTTGGTAGTGCATGTGGGTAAAGCCAGCTAGGAGTTCCACTTGTGTGTGAGAAGTGTGCCAGTTGTGGGGCTACACCTGTAATTCTAGCACCTGGGAGGCAGGGGCAGGAGGGTCAAAGGATCTCAAGCTAGAGACCTTGTCTTTTTTTGAAAATCGTTTAACTTGCATGTCCATTATTGCTACTTGTGGACTCCTAAGTATAAACCCTTTTCTCTTCCAGGATTACATTCCATCACAGCAAGATATTCTGCTTGCCAGGAGACCCACCAAAGGCATCCACGAGTACGACTTTGAAATTAAAAATGTTCCTTTTAAAATGGTTGATGTAGGCGGCCAGAGATCAGAACGGAAACGTTGGTTTGAATGTTTTGACAGTGTGACATCAATACTTTTCCTTGTGTCTTCAAGTGAATTTGACCAGGTGCTTATGGAGGATCGCCTGACCAATCGCCTTACAGAATCTCTGAACATATTTGAGACAATTGTCAATAACCGGGTTTTCAGCAATGTCTCCATAATCCTCTTCTTAAACAAGACAGACTTGCTTGAAGAGAAAGTGCAAGTTGTGAGCATCAAAGACTATTTCCTAGAATTTGAAGGGGACCCACACTGCTTAAGAGACGTCCAAAAGTTTCTGGTGGAATGCTTCAGGGGCAAACGCCGGGACCAGCAGCAGAGGCCGCTGTACCACCACTTTACCACCGCCATCAACACGGAGAACATCCGCCTCGTGTTCCGCGACGTGAAGGACACGATCCTCCATGACAACCTCAAGCAGCTCATGCTCCAGTGATGATAAGACTTACTGTTTTAATGCCTTGTTGTGGTTTTGATTGTCTTATGTTTGTCTTGTTTTTTTTTTCTTGTTTTTTTTGTTTGTTTGTTTGTTTTAATAGTTTACAACAGCAGTTAGAAAGATCTCAATTCTGTGTCTAACTTCTTGAAAATCATAGTCCTTCTGTGGCCTTTAGTCTGTGGCTGAAAGCTGCTGAATTAACACATTGCCAATATCTGCTGGAATTCGGGCTTTGATCGGTTTCACCATGGCTTCCATTCAAGTCCAGTTGTGACTTCCTGACCCAGCCTCACGCTAGGTGTATTTCAGGCTTTTAATTCTTCTGCTTGCGAACTGAATTCTCCTGCAGTGCCAAGAATAGGCAGTATCCTTAACTACTTGTAGGGACGAGATTAGGAGTGTTCAGCTCTAAGATGAGACCCAAGAGAGAGTGCCTTACACAGCAGTGGCATGCCTAGTTAGAGTGAGACCCTGTTCTGAAAGGGCTGTTAGAGAAAGTTCAGTCTAAGAAACGGCAGTCTAGATCTTCAGAGGCTTAGCCTTCCTGTGTTTGGAATTGCTTACATACAGCAGTAGTTTTCTTCTCCATTTCTTTTGTTCCTGAAGGTAATGTCTTAGTGTTTAAGTTTACAGTATGGATTTCGGCCTGATGCTGATGCATTCACAAATGGTACATGCACTATGTTGATCTAAAATGACCAGTGACTACGTGCATTTTGCCTTTTCCATATTTAAGTATCAGTAACTTGATGTGCCATGTTAGAAACATTGTGGCCATAGCAACAACTAGAAAGGGCAAGCACCTTGGTAACAAGAATCAGCATAGCTGTCCCAGAGTGCCGCCTTGTGACTTTTTAGTCCTCTCTTAAGTTGGTTTCGTGCCTTGCTGGAGGGAATCACTGTTGGATCTTCTTTCTTCTGCCCTCCTGTCTCAATCTCAGCAACTCTGAACTGTGACATTTGGGGGTTCTTTTGTCACCAAGAGCTTGGCGGGCAGTATTTTCCTATGAAATATTCAAGAAGGTATCATTTGAGTAGCCCATTCATGCTTTGTGTCCCTGTAGACACAGTTTGTGTGTATCGGTGCTGTTGTTGTGTATGAGATGACAGCATTATTGGGGGTACATGTGAATGTTTTAAGAATGCAGCTAAGGATAAGCAATTCTTTTGGTCCATACTTAAGGAGGCTTGCCTTTCTTACACACACACACACAAACACAACACTGCTAAGTTAAACCATGCCGATAAAGTAGCTTTGTGATTAGCTATTCCATAGTGACTGGTGTACTAAAACGTTTGTCATGTTCCAGCTGGCCTGTGAGAGTTTGCAAAAGCACATCCCTGCTGTCCTTGGAGAATGCATGAGGACTGTGGTGCCTGTCATTTTGCTGTGTGACTCTTCTCAGGCAAGAAATTGGGCCCTGAAAGATTGGTCAACTTTGTGGCTCACGGGCAGGGCAGTCCTTATTATTACTGGCGGGTGTGAGAACTGGGCCTCTTAGTATGCTAAAAAGGGGTGTGCTCTTGATAGACCTGACTCGTTCTTGGTTTTTGAACTTTTGCTGTCTTTTTGTTTATAAATTCCAAATGTTTTCTTGCCTTGGTAATACATGAGCTTAAGACATGTAGTCCAGTATCACAGTACAAGTGTTGTTAGCATAATTTATGTATATTTGAATGATTCTCCGTCTAGTCCTTTTTGCCAAAAAGAGTGTATCATCTAAATTCATGGGGTTAGCATAACTCCAGTGCTGAGGAACATTTGAACATGTGCACAGCAACACTGGGTTTGTTCTGTGTTAATTTAGCAAACATTTTTGTGCATTGGCCAGAAGTAACTGCAGTAAAGGCAAAAGTCAGTCCCTCCAGAAAGCAGTTGTATCCAGTTACACTTAAGCTCTGTGGTGAGAACAGAAATAGGACCTGGCTGGATAGAAGCACTGACTTTCTCCATTGTGACTATCACCAGGAAGTGACAGGAGCACCAGCCAGACACAGCATCCCGGGCATCTGCACTTCCTTCTGAGGCATGCAGAGTCTCAGAGCCACAAGCAGTGTAGGTACGTGCTGAAGCAGGGGATCACTCGCTTGCGATTTATACAGATTGTTTAGAGCACAAAGAACTGTGAGGCTCAGCCAAAAAGCTCTGGTCCACTTTGAAAGGAATCTTAACACCTACATCCTGAAAGTCAGGTCCTTCTGTGAATCGAAACCCTGAAATATTGTTGTGTGAAGAGGAAGGTGAGATTTAGCCAACAGCATTGAAAAGGTGCTCGACCCTCCCTATGCAGGCTCCCTAAAGTGTGACCTGGAGTTGAGGCTCTCGGGGGCACTGGGCTTTGCATGTCTTGGGGGTGAGTGGACTGACCCGTGCCTAACTCCACATTTCTCTCTTCTGAGACCCTGCACCCTTGCTGCATACCAACAAATGATCACACAAGTGTCTTGGTTGACTTTACAATTTTTTTATATTTTACAGTTGCCTTATAAAATGAAAGAAAACCACAAATTAGACCTTAATTTTCTTTTTAATGGGGAAAGGGCTTTGTTCCATAGTTTCTTATGATCTTAATTCAAGGTATATTTCTGCCACTTAAATATTTTTAATGTCCTGAAATACCTGAAATGTTTCTTTCTGCCAAATGCTGTCTGTATTAAACTGAAGCCTCCATTTTAGTTTCTCTGTCTGGAAAGGGTACTTGATAGCCAGAGGGCAGCTGCAGCCAAAAAAGACAGGGTGTCCTAAAGAGGAGCATGTTTCCTGTCACAGCACATTGGTGGGTACTTCACACCCAGGGGTCCTCTGGGAAGTTTCCAAGCCCAGGCTCTACAGGGAAATGCTTGTTCATTTGGTGGCAGCTGTTGATTTAAAGTAAGACACACTGGTGCCAGAAGTGACAAGAAATGTCATTAGATGCAGTAAACATCTTGTGCCTACTAAGTAAATCACCTTCCAGTGTAAGCCCAAATTCATAGGCTTCTGTTATGATGGGATGTATTTCTCAGCATTGGTATTCACATCCGGTTATGTCTCGTTCATATGAAGAAAAATGTCTAAGTTATGCGGTTATATTCTGAAACTCAAGCTATTTGGAAATCCCTCAAATTGGTGCTTTCATTATTTAATGATACATTTAGGCAAAACCCCAAACAAACCATTTGGAACGTGACTCTGGGTTACAATTTGTAGCAATGTTATTTTTCTCATTTGAGAAGGCCAAGTGTCAGTGTTAATCTGAATTTCCTGTATGAACCCATGCACCCTACCTGTAAAACCCAGTTAAATATTTGTAACAAATTCCCAAATAAACCTAGAGAAAGCCGAGCTCTGTTACCTTTTCATTTCTTTTCATTCTGTCTGAAAGATGGAGAGTAAAGTTTTGCAGGTCCTTAATCATTTGGGAATCGGCCCTTTGTTGTATGTCTCCTTCCTGTGGTTCCAGCACATTAAAGCCCATGAGCCAAGTGATCTTTGTGTTGTGCTGCTTGAATGAAAGCACTTTCTGTTTCCTTCTTTCTTTTTTTAAAGTTGGGATGGCTTTTCAGTCTAGAAAGGCTGGGGCACCAGATGCCCGTTTTCTTATGGTACGAGGTTAGTTAGGGCTTAGGCAGTTTACACTAGAGATTGAACTCTGTTTTAAAACCTGATGATGGCTTTTCAGATACCATCCGTTACATACTGCTAGCCATCGATCAAAACAGTGTTTGTCCACTAGTGTTCTTCTGTCTGCCTGAATTGACCTGCCCATCCCTACATATAGCATTGGGGTCTAAACAGCCAGTTTGAGTGCCAGTGTTGGCACAGAACATTGTTTTACATCTGTTTGCTTGTGTATTTGGGTGCTTTTGAGACAGGGTCTCCCTGTGTACCCAAGGCTGATCTCAAATTTGAGATAGTTCTGGCTCAGCTTCCCAAATGCAAAGACTCCTTCTTGCCTTTTAAAACACCAGGATGGGGCAGTCAGTGTTTTGTTGGCTGTAAGGTGATTTTGTGACCTTTGCTGTGTTATGGTGATGAAATTCCAGATGGATTGAAGCCTACCTGAATCCTGGAGGCATACATTTTCAATCTGTGACAATCACTGATCATAATAAACTACCTTCTTGGTTTGTAATTCTGATTTTATTCACAGACACAACCCTGCTAAAAATGAGTGGCGATTTTGATATTAACCATGCCTGTTTGATGGTATCGGGAGCGACAGGGAGGAAGGAGGCAATGTGTGTTTGTTGGGTGCGTATGGTCATGAAGCAGATGATATACTTTGTGGCCTCTTCACCTCTTTCTTACTTGAAAGCAGAATCGCAAAATACTCTAGGTGGCTTTTCTCCGTTAGGTGTGAGCTCACGGGGCACGAGAAGTCTTATCTGAAGCACTCAGTGCAACCCTCAGATACTGTCCCTAACGAGACATGGTTTATATTACCCTGTATAAAAGTATTTGTGGCTTAAGATTTTTCTTTTCATACATCTTTTTATAACTTTCCAGGAACTAAGCACATTATCTGATACTGTTGTAAATTTCTTTTTTTTTTTTTTTTGGCCAGTGTTTTGGTTCCAGAGTAGCAGTAAATTATTTCTACAGGTCTAAGAGCGGAAGGAAGGAACGGTTTCATTTTATATAAAACGAGATGCTATTCATTAAGGCTTCTTCTTTTTTGTACATATTTTGCAAAATTTGTCTCTTTACTATTAATATTTGCTTTGTAAAAAAATTACTGACATTTAATAAACATTTATAAACGACTTGATAGCATGATGTCCTTTTCACTACTGACGCTTGAGTGTGAAGCAGGCAGTGAATTTCACATTGGAAAGCAGAAGTTTGCACGGCCTGCAGAAGGCACCGAGATCTACTCGGCGTCTCTCCAACTCAGCCACTGTGGAAACAGTTGCTGACGAAAGATGTGAGATGTGGCTTCACGGTGTCCTCAGGTCTCCACTGATGTAAGCAGGAAAAGGGGCACACACCCGCTCGCAGCTTCTCTTGCAGGCTCTGGGTCTCTGACGGCTTCTGGGCCCCAGTCTCATCCAATTACAGCAGGATTGCTCTTAAGCTTGTTGTGATCAAATTCATATCTTAAAAACCAATTAACATCACCACTCATCTTTTTTTTTCCCCACCAGTAAACCTTGCTTTAGAATAGAGTTAGGAGTGTGGTTGGGGCGGGTAGGGTAGTAAGGATTCTGAGCATTTTACCCTGTAACTGCTTCCCCAGTGAATGGCCTGTAAGCTTGTGGCTTACAACTGCTAATCGCAGCTCTTGGAGGGTTATGGCAGGAAGATTAACCAGAGTTCCTGGTTAGACTAACTGCAGTCTGCTTTAAAGTGACACTTTGTCTCAAAGAGCCAATACGGAAAGCATGGCAATTATATAGGAAAGCCTCCCATGATCCTCAGTTTCCCTCTGAAGCCTTCTGGAGGCCATGCAGGACCCACATTATATTTTTTGTCATGTCTCCCTGAGCCCCCTCAGCTGTTGGACCTCCCTTGTTCTCCAGCCTTTCTTGTTCATTCCAATGGTAGCAGCTTTGAGGAGTGCCAGTCAGGGATTTTGTGGAATGTTGTATTGGGGTTGGTCTGTACCTTCTTATTAGGCAGCAGTATGGGGTTTAGAACCACAAAGTATCCTTTTGTGTTGTATATTCCCATAAATCTATTTATAAAAATAGATGGCCAGCCCAGAGGCCATGGTAGATGATAAGAAATAAGCATTCCTGGCTAGGGAGATGACTCAGCAAGTGCCTGCTTCATAAGCATGAGGACTTTGACATGGTCCCCAAAACCCACATGAAAAGCTAGGCATGGTGGTTGGCACCTGTAATGTCGGGGCTAGAGATAGATTCCTGAAGCCCATTGCCCTGCCAGCCTGGCTGAATCTGTGAGTTTCAAGATTGGTGAGAAATGCTGTCACAAAAAGTTGAAGAGAAATGAAGATCATAATGTCAATCACTGACTTACACACACACACACACCATGTGCTTACATGCATCAATGTACACAGCCATACAAGTACATATGCAGACTGCATACAACATACCACACAAAAGCACCATTCTCATGAAACTATGTCAAGTGTACCTAATGGCCCTGCCTAGCAGTGGAACATGCCTTTAATCCCACCAGAGGCAGGCAGATCTCTGTGAGTTTGAGGCCAGCCTGATCTACAGAGCAAATAGGACAGCCAGAACTGCATAGTGAGACCCTGTCTTGAATCACCTCACCCAAAGTAAGTATGCCTAATGGCCATCATTCACTCTCCAGAGGTTTTCAACCTTCCTAATGCTGCAACCATTTGATACAGTTCCTCCTGTTTTTGGGGGCAACCATAAAATTATTTCATTGCTATTTCATAACTAATTTCAATATAAATACCTGTGTTTTCTGATGGTCTTAGGCAACCCCTGTGAAAGCTTTGGTCAGCTGGCCGGGATCGAGACCCATAGGTTGAGGACCACTTCCTTACTCTTATAAGGAACCAAGTTAGAAGCTGCCAACTTTTTTAAAAGCTTTTCTTGAGAGTCTCATTATGTAGCCCAAGCTGGTCTTGAACTTTCAATCCTTCTGCTTCACCCTCTTAAGTGTTGGGATTACAGCTATGGCTCAGCACTCCTGTTTTATGTCGTCTATCTACTTGTATATGTGTTTGTGACTTACATGTTCAACTGTATGTATGTTATGTATGTGCAACACCCAGTGTTACCATTGGGTGTGGTAGTGATAGCTCTCCATCTTATTCATTGGGGCAGTCTCTCAGCTGAAGTCAGAGCTCACCAAGCTAGTGGGTTCATTCCCCTTCCTGCTGGAATTACAGGTGGGCCACCATGCCCATCTGGTATTATTTATACCAGTTCTGGGGATTCCAGCTCCAGTCCTCACATTTGGGTGGCAAGGACTTTATCCACCAGCATCTCCCAGCCCTGAATCTTCCTACGTGGCATTCACTGATGGCTGTCTCCCCCACCTGAACTTGGGTCTCCCTCAGGCCTGGACCTGCCCAGCAGCTGCAAGGAAATGTCCAGCAGCAGCACTGGCTCCTCCAGCCTCTGGCAAATAAGAATTCTTTTCTAGGGTCTCACTTTCACATGATATTTAACTCTGGATCCTGAAAAGAAAATTACAATACAAAATGTGGACTTTATGTAAATGTTGTTGGAAAACATATGATTTCAGAGACATATGATTTCAGAGACAAGTTTTTAAAGGGTTTTTTCCGAGGTCGGAGAGCTTTGGAAATTGAAACTAATTTGAACATTGGAATTCCCCTCAAAACAAAAATCTTTTTAAAAAAAAAAAAAAAAGGAAAAGAAAGAAAGAGAAAGAAAAGGCTTTGCTGGGGGGGAAGGCTCAGCGGGTAAATTGTGTGTAACACACACATGACCTAAGCTCAGATGATAGAAGAAGATACTCAATTATCGTGGTTTAATAAGGATCAGGAAAAGCAGATAGGCTGAATAGATGTTTATTCAGGGAGAAATAACTTACAACATAGATGAACATCCTGGTCCCAAGGATGCCTCCAGATCCTCTCTGTCCCTGTCCTGCTAGCAAGAGAGCTCTCTGGAGCCCCTTTCCCAGACCTAGTTCCCCCCCAGGTCACGTCAGCCCCTGTCCCCACCCCCAGTGGGCGTGGTCAGTGCCACAGGTGCAGACAAAGTGAATATCATACTCAATGTCTATGATGGCCTGCAAACACACACACACACACACACACACACACACACACACACACACGAGCTCTCTCACACAATACACCCATGCATGGGTTTCCATACATACATATGCATGGGCACACTCCTCCCCACATGCATAAGCTCACTACACACACACACACACACACACACACACACACACGAGCACTCTCATACACCCGTGCCCATACATATACATTCATGGACACACCTCCCCCCACACACACACATGAGCTCCCACACCCTCAATACACACATGCAAGGCAACCTACACACACAAAGCAAAAGCTAAAACCTTTCTTCTGGAATTGAAACAAGGGAATGTATTCACTGTTGGGAAAAGAAACAACAGCTAAGCCTCAAACTCCTGTCTGGGAAGTGCTTTGGCACAATCAGGGTTAACTGACAGGCTGGTATAAGATGAGCTCAGTGACCTGAGTCCAGTGTAGGTTGTTGGAAGAGAAAGGGGGCCTTTTTTGTCCCATGGAAATCCAAGAAACCCAAGGTTTACATGTTAAACCAGAGGTTTGTGTGAGTGACTTGAGAAATCAAGCAGGTCCTCCAAAAATGATCAACCTCAGGCAATATCCTAAAATACATGCTGTGATCTTTGCTCAGAAAGGAATGGGGCTC